GGGGTTAGGGTTTAGGGTTTAGGGTTTGGGGTTTGGGGTTTGGGGTTTAGAAAACGGGTGCTTGTCCATCGCCTCCTTCCTAACATCTTTGACACAGGCACGGGACCTGGAGCTTGCAAGCCGCGACCCCAACAAGATAAAGATATAGTAGAAAAGAACAATAGAATAATGGAATGCTAGAGCAATAGAGTAGTAGAATGATACAATGAGACAAAAACAACAAAACAAGAATACTAACATTGGAATGACGAATTATCACGTCTCTCCAGCATTGCAGGCGGAGAACTTGAGCTTTGGAGACTTCACGAGCTTGGCAAACTCCTGTCGCTTCAGAAGCTCAGGGTTCGCATCATGCGGGCGCAAGCAAAAGATTGCGGAGTCCCAAGCAGGGTTAGGGTTTAGGGTTTAGGGTTTAGGGTGTAGGGTTTAGGGTTTAGGCTTTAGGGTTTAGGGTTTAGGATTTAGTTATAAGTAGGGCAAGTATACATATAACCTTGCTTAGGGTACTGATAACCCTACTTATACCTATCCAAGTAGCTCTGGGGGCTTAGAGTGTTAAGGCTAGGGCTATTGGTCCCAGAGTTCTTGGGGAGGCTGTCGCTTCTGCCAAGTTCCAACCGCCAGCTGCCCTGTCAACATCGGCTCTTGAACACAACCCTGCAACGCTCAAGCCTCCGGCGGCCTTGGCTTAAAACCTCAACGCTAACCTCTAAAACCAGATGTCATGCAAGGGCCGGCGGGGGGTGAGGGAATGGATCCTGGAGGGGAGGAAGCTCTTCTGCGATGGCCCCTAAACGAGGAGGGGATGGTCTTCACGCAGGGGCGAGCTTGCTAAAGACGTCGAGGGCATGGAGATGAGAACCGAAGAACCGATCGCTTGGCGACCTGGTTCACTGATGGATGCCTACACCTCTACGCCTTCTGCATGTTGATCCCGGACCCTCAAAGCACGCATGATGGCCTGCGGCCCCAAACCATAAGAGTATCAAGGCCGCCACCATCATCATCATTTTTGTTGCTATCCTGCGGTAGCATTGTTCTCGTTATTTTCCTGGGATCTAGGTAGAATGTTTTAGTGGGGGGCCCCCTGTTTAAACTCAAGCTATGGCACTGTTTCGGGATAAGCTGTAATGTCATAGCCCCGGGGCACTGGCCCCGGGGCACCGGATTTCGAAAAATCATATGGGTCCCTGTTCAGTTCTTACAAATTCTTACAAACTCATCCCTAAAAGCATAGGGATCCCTCATCAAAACTCGGCCCTCTTAAAATCATATGCATCCCTTTTAAAAACCATATGGACCTTTTTTGACTCATACAAGCTCATCCCTCTGAACACCATATTCATTTAAACCCGCCCCCTTTTGAAAAATCAAATGGATCCCTTGTAAATGCAACAAACTCATCCCTTTTTAAAACTCATGTACACTCGCCCTGTCAAAATCTATTTTAAACTCATATAAAGTCATTTTGAAGTCATGTGGATCCCGTTGAAACAAACTCTATCATCTCAAATCCCGGGACCGTTTAAACAGGGCGATCGACTGTTCTGAAGGGTGGGGGGGGGGGGGGGGGGCACACTAAAGCAGGTGCCACATTGCGAGTAGGCCACTGCCGTACGGCGCAGCAATTTCGAAAAAAAACCCCTAAACCTTAAACCCTAAAGCCTATATACACCCTAAAGCCTATATAAACCCTAAACCCTAAACCCAAAAAAAGCCTGTAGGAGCTCCAGAGCAGGCTTCGCGCCTCCATGTTGAGCGCACCATCCCCTGATTTGTCCATGGTGGCAAAGACCTTCTTCACTTTTCCTGAGCTTTGGCCATGGGGTGCAAGGTGCAACTAAGCTCTCAATTCAGAGCGCCTCTTTGCCACCCTAAGCTCTTGAGGCTCTTCCCGAAGTCCTGGGCAGATTTTTTGGAGGCCCGACCGTCTAGTCCGTTTATAAGCTTACATGGCTGCCCACGCGCCTCCAAGTCATCCCAACCCATGACAGCCCTGTAGGGTTTAGGGTTTAGGTTTAGGGTACCTGAGCTTCACCCTGCAGTGCACTGTGGGGAATGGGGACAGCTGTTCTTATCATGAACTGTACTTGAAGGTTCATGGGTTGTTATAAGTAGGGTTCTTTGTGCCCTAAATAGGGTTAGAACCAGTTGGGCTGGCACCTTACGAGTACGAGGCTTGAAGGTTAAAGGACATAGGCTTGCATGAGAGAAAGCGTACCCAGGCGAGCGTCTTGTATACAGCGCCGTGTCTTTTTCCTTCCTTGGTTCGAAGGCGTGGGTCTTGAAGCTTGGTGCTCCAACAAGCTTCTGCACACGACATAGATACTGGTTGACTGGAGAGCCAGTCGGAAACTTAGGTTTACTACAAATAGGGGGAGGCGGGGGGGGCTGGGGTGGGGGGGGGATGCTGCCATATTTTGCCGCAGCCCAAGCACAAGCTCCAGCACATGAGCCAATCACCCAAAAAGTCCCTTGGGGGGCACAGCCTGGGTGTACGCGGCTTAACGAACGCTCTCTGTCGGCTTAGTCAGTGTCTTCTTTGTCGACTTCAACAGCCAGGCGCCTCTAAATACATGCACGCGAGGAGCTCCTCGGACCACACGCACTATAACCCCCTAACTCAGCATCGACGACCGCGAGATCACACATGATCTGCGAGCTCTAGAAGAACCTCAAGCCGGAAGGTCAATCACGGAACGCCCCAAATCTGCCCGGATCTAGGTCATCAAAGTGCTCCGGGGCGCTGTTTAAAGGCCAGCTCTTCGTCATTGGTGGCAGTCTTCATGGTCTGCCTTGAGTTGTCGTGAGTGGCTGCACACCGAGCTCCGGAACAATTCCTTCAGGATCTGGGAGTGACCCTAAACCCTAAACCCTAAACCGCAAACCCTAACTTGACTGCAGCCCAAAGGATGAGGGAACGACAAGGCAGCCTGTCATTCTGAATTCGAGTCTATAGTGGAGCCGTCGTACTCCGTGGACAGTGATTGGAAGCTTTGGAAACTTGACTTGCTTTGTTAACGTTGGTTTGAGGTCTAAGTTGCAGGGGTTTAGCACAAAGCTCTGAACCGCAAGGACAAGGCTCATCTGCATGAAGGGTTAGCCTAAACACCTGGAGCCCTAATTAGGCCCCAAAGCCTCAACTCTGGGAGCACAGAAGTTGGTCGGATCAAGCTATGTGGCGCTCTAAACCCTAGAACCTCCCCGCACCCCCTATACACCCTCACATACACCTCCCACTCCCCTTGACACCCCCCCCCCCCCCCCCCCCCCCCCCCCCCCCCCCCCCCCCCCCCCCCCCCCCCCCCCCCCCCCCCCCCCCCCCCAACAACCCCCACAACCCCCACAACCCGCACGGCAGGGCCGATTTTGGGGTCTTGGGGGCGTTTTGGGCTTGGGTATCTCAAAGCTCCGGAAGTTCAGGCTCCAGGGGCCTCCACAGTTAGAATAGGGCTTTGGGGGGTTAATATAGTACAATTATAAAGGGACCCTAATGGAACACTATGAGTAGTTAAGGTGAATCCGTGAGCTCAGCAGATCTGGAGATCCCTCAGGAAGCCAGGTGCAGCTCAAGTGGCTGAACAAAGACCGCGCTGACCTCTGCAAGTTTGGAGAACCCCCCCTAAACCCTAAACCCTAAACCCTAAACCCTAAACCCTAAACCCTAAACCCTAAACCCCCAAACCCCTAAACCCCCAAACCCCCAAACCCCCCAAACCCTGCGTCTGTGAACGCACCAGTGCTGCTCGAGCCTGGCAGGCAAACACCTGAAACCCCAAACTTCTCATCCCCCGCCCGGGGCTCCGTTGAGCCTTAAGAGGTATAAGGAGGGACCCCTACAAGGGACCCTTGGTCTTGTTCCCCTATATAGCCCCTATATATATATATATATATATATATATATATATATATTTGTATATATATATATATATTTGTGTATATACATATATACATATATATGTCTATGTATTAATTATACAGTCCCTTAAAACCCTAAACCCTTAACCCCTAAATAACCCCTAAGGCCCCTTATAAGGGTCTCTCCTTTAGTCCCTTAATAGCAGGGCTTGCTTGGAGGTTCATGGGTAGTTGAAAGTGCGGTTTAGGGTTTAGGGTTTAGGGTTTATACGTATGCAGTAACTATAGTTATCACTGGTTGAAACCTCATATTTAGGGTACTTGCATAACCCTTCTCATAACTACCCATGATACCTTCAAGTTTTTTACCCGATAGGGTTTAGGGCTTAGGGTTGAGGGTTTAGGGTTTAGGGTTTAGGGGTAGAACCCTGAACTTCCGATGAGCTGTTCAGGGTTTTCTCCTCAGGGCTGCACAGGCCTAACGAATGTCACAAAAGCACGGCTCCTGTGTCTATCCTTAGTTGTCCAGCAACCTGGGGGGAATTAAAGGTTGACCTTTGGGATTCTAAGGGGATTATACTACCCCAAAAAGGTTAAAGGTTACCTACTACGAGGTATCTATGTTCAGCTTTTCTGGCGTGGTGGTTCCAGGAATTTCGGGATTTGGGGGATTACGGCAATAGGGCAGCCCTCAAAAAGACCCCCAAATAATTAGTGGGGATTCCCTTATCATAAGTACCCCAGTAAGGTACCCCCAATTTCGGAAAACTGCCATTTGGGATGAAGGTGGTAAAGGGCGTTCGGGGTTGACCGGATTTTTGTTTAGATCCAAGCTGGGAGCTGCCAGCTGCAAGAGTTTGTGGTAAAATGTCCCAGTGGCAACTTCCATGCGGCTTTGCTGAGAGCTTTTCGGGCCTGTGTCTCCATGGTATCGCATGGGGGGCACTGCAGGGCACTGTAGGGTGTACAGTCCTTTTTGCTCAGCAGCACGAGGAACGCACCAAGCCCACGACATGGAACCACAAAGGCTCCAAAAGCCAACAAACTTCCAGCGTCAGGGCACATCATGACGTGCCTGGCATCCTCACGAAACCACGTGTGCAGCCACTGTAGTGCAGCTGCTCGCGCCGCTCAGAGTGCAGCTACAGGCTCAAGAGCTGCTGGACGGCGCTGCTATCACCTCCCAGGCGCGGGGAGCCCCAGGAAAGCACGGAGCCGTCCTTCCGGATACCTGCGAAGGCATGGTTCGAAGCCTGGACTTGCCAAACATCCTCCAAGACACTGGCGATGTCCCCCCAGGTTACAGCCCGGCCCTCCGAGGTGATGGCAGCGAAGGCATACTTCGAAGCTTGGATGTGCTGTACATTTCTCAAGTGCTTCTGCACACTTCGGCTGTTCCCGCCACCGCGATGATCTCCCCAAGTTACGACCGACCCGTCCTCACGGAGGGCTGCAAAAGCACCTGTGTTGGCTTGAACCTTCCGCACGTTCTTGAGCAGCTTCTGCACGGCCCGGCTGTCACCGCCGAAATCGGACCTCCAGGTCACGACGGACTTGTCACTGAGAATGGCGGCAAAGCCGCACGCAGAGGCCTGAATCTGCTGCACATTGCGGAGCTGATCCTGGACATCCGTGCTATCACCACCTTCCTTAGGGCATCCCCAGGTCACGACCGATCCATCCAGCCTAATGGCAGCAAAGGCTGAAGTAGTTGCTTTCACTTCCCTCACGTTCTTCAATAGATGCTGAACTGAGCTGCTGTCTCCGCCGAACTCAGGACTGCCCCACGCCACAACTGATCCGTCCGCCCGAATGGCAGCAAAAGCATTCGCGGAGGCCTGGATCTTCTGCACAGACTTCAGCTGTTCACTGACGGTGGTGCTGTTGCCCCCACCCCACTGGTTGCCCCAGGTCACAACTCTCCCATCTTCAAGAATGGCGGCGAAGGCAAATCGAGCGGCCTGAACTTGCCGCACATTCCGCAGGAGCCCATTGACGGCGCTGCTGTCACCACCACTTTCCTGCGCACCCCAGGTTACAACAGACCCGTCACCAAGGATGGCGGCAAATGCCCTTTCCGAAGCTTTCACTTGCACAACATTCGTTAGGTTGGTAGGGGCGGCAACGCACCCCTCTTCCTCTGTAACACCGCCCCACGTGACGAGCGCCCCATCGGCAAGGATGGCTGCAAAGCTTGTGTCGGACGCTTGCAGCTGCTGCACGTTCACCAGCTGCTTCTGCACCTTGGTAGCCCAGCAACCATGTGAATAATCAAGGGCACCCTTTTTTGGGGTTGGTTCCTTTCTTAGGGAACCTTAAACCAAAAAAAGGGGGGGCACAAGGCTACCACTGTTAAAATCAGGGCACCTTTTTTTGGGGGTTGGTTCCTTTATCAGGGAACCTTGAACCAAAAAAGAAAAAGCGGGGGAAAAGGGGTACCACTGGGCAAACCAACGGCACATGACTACTGTCGCCTCCGGCTGTTGGATCTCCCCAAGTCACGACCGACCCATCCTAGCTCATGGTTGGGAGAATATTGAAACTTTAATTTTCCATTCCGCATTGGGTTACCCTAAGCCCTAAACCTAAACCCTAAACCTAAACCCTAAACCCTAAACCCTAAACACTAAACCCTAAACCCTAAACCCTAAACCCTAAACCCTAAACCCTAAACCCTAAACCCTAAACCCTAACTAAACCCTCAAAAAAATGCAAAAATGTTGTCCAAGTACGACAAAGCATCACCCAGGATGGCGGCGAAGGCCGCCCCTGAAGCCGCCAGAGAAACCTTCGTTGTCCAGCATCCTAGGGTTTAGGGTTTAGGGTTTGGGGTTTGGTGTTTAGGGTTTGGGGCTTAGGGTTTAGGGAAACCAAAGGTTCATGTTTGGGATTCTATATAGGGATTCTCAGGCCCCCAAGAAGGTTAAAGGTGACCTATATAGGGGTTTTTAAGGCCCCTTTAAAAAGGTCAAAGGCGACCTTATACTCTACTACTAAGCCCCTAAACCCTAAACCCCAAACCCTCAACCCTAAACCCCAAACCCCAAACCCTAAACCCCAAACCCTAAACCCTAAGCCCAAGAAGCCGGCTGCTTCGCCAAGGTCAAGACATCGCCATCCTGGAGGCCTGCCTCGAGCAGCGTCCTGGGCCCACTCAGAGGGCGGCCCAGAGATGTCAGCAGCTTCCTGGGTTGGCCTTTTAACGCTTCTGAGAATATATATATATATATATATATATATATATACATATATATATATATACAGGGTCGCTTATAAACCCAAATAAGGAAAATGATAAGAAACATGTCCCCAAAAAAACAACCGAGCTTCCCTTTGAAGTGAAAGGCTGCTTGTGCTTGTTGCCTCAACAAATCCGCTGGAGCATCCAACTCCACTTCCAGTTTCTTCCTCTTGCCACTCAACAATACCACCTCGAGGGAAATAGACATGCCATGTGGCAGTACTCGGATCTAAGAAACAAAGCAGGCCTGCCATGTAAGCGTTTAGAGCTTTGAGCACTTTACGCATCCGCTGCTCTGTATGAAGCATGTTTCGGTCCACCTCTTCCAGTTGTACTTGCTGTATTGATGCCATTCGTATTGTGGTTTCGAGACCGCACGCGGAACACAGCGTTCCGCAGAAACGGCAGCAGCAAACGGTTCAATAAAGGACATTGCGCCACAGATCCTCAGCACAATCGTCTTGACTTTGAAACAGATGAGAAAATCTTAAATTTACATGCCCGGCATCGCAAGGGAGTGTGTAGGATTTGAAGCCAGACGCAAGAAGTCCCCTTTAAACCCTTTGAAATCCCTTTAAACCCTAAACCCGAAACCCGCACAACCCGGATTTAGGGCTCAACAAGACCGTACGGTAAGTCAGCGAGGCTAAGTGCGTGGCCACGTTCAGAACTGCAAAGCCCAAGACCTAAGGATTGGATTTGGCGGGTTTAGGGTTTAGGGTTTAGGGTTTAGGGTTTAGAACAGGAAACTCAGGCAATACTTTGAACACATCAGTCTTCCAGCAAGCAGCAGGAACAGTGCTGAAGAACATCACAAAACATGGAAAATAGCTTTACACTCTAGAAACAGTGGTGCACCAGCAAGCCATGGGCAAGAAATAGGTATGCTCCCCACTAAAGATCTCAAACTACTAGCACCATCGAAAAGAAAGTAGCCTGAAGGAAGCGTGATTTTCCCTGGGCCTCAGCTAGCCTAACGGACTTGCTCGCACACAGAAGCTTTAGGGGCTTGGGGCGGGAAGCGGCGGCCAGAGTCTCAGTTTAGCTATGGCCAGCATGTTGCTGCTTCTACGGCCAAAAAGCCTAAGTGCTTTTTTTATAATTACGAGGTGCGAGGCAAGGCCAAGAACATTGCAGGAGAAACGCCGAAGGATAGTTTGATGACAGGCGGGCTGCTCGATCAAACCTATGTGAAAAATCCCAGCGGACGGGATGGAGCAACTAAGCCCGCGGCACAGCGATACAGCAGAAAGAAGACGGAGAACCACTCACCTTTAGGACGGCGAGTGATGTCACAGAGGTGCGGTGTGGATCGTGTGGTTCATTTCGGGCGGGGGCCTGCCATGCTTCTTTATAGGCTTTAGGGTTTAGTTGGGGTTCAGTGCCTCAAGCATGTGGAGTTCAAGGTTAGAAGGTTCTGGGTTGAAAGCGAATGCACCTTGAGTGGAGCCCATGAGACCACAAAGACTGCCTTGATGGCGCATGACCTTTCTAGACTTCTTGCAAGAATCACTGAGACCTGTTCAGGACAGCCAGGTATGACTCATACTTGTGGGCAAAGCCCGCCACCGATGGCTGTAGTGCAAACCGCCCTTGCCATGAACGGTCAACTTTCCTGACCCTTTTTTGACCCTAAAAACCCTACGCCTTAATCCACAAACCCTAAACCACAAGGCCAAGGCAGCTGAGGTGCTCATGTTCTCCAAAAGCACACGTGCCGGCGGTGCCCAATTTGCAAACAAAATCTCAAACCTGAGACGAGCGATGATGAAACTTCCAGCGACATTGCCCTGAAAAGATAGGGACAACCCTAAACCCTAAACCCTAAACCCTAAAAATCTCGAACCTGAGACGAAGCTGGAGGTTGGGCTGCAAACATGAGCAAGAAGAGCCCTAAACCCTCAAGCTCCTGCGGTGCCCTGCAACAGCTGGATGAAGGAAGACCACGGACATACAGTGGAAGGTTCCCCCTAAGTCCTTAATAGGGATTATAGGACCCCCCCCCCCCCCCCCCCCTCACCCTAATTCTAAGCCCTATTAAGGCTTTGTATAGGCTTAGGGTCTAGGGGCTAGGGTTGGGGTTCCTTAATGGGGATTATAGTAAACCCCCCCCCCCCCCCCCCCGCTTTACTATAAGGGGGAAGATCCCAAGACATACACGATGAAGCACTTGCATCTTGCGCTGGTCCCCTAACCCAAACTTGGCTGCACTTAGGAGGGTTTAGGGTTTAGGGTTTAGGGTTTAGGGTTTAGGGTTTAGGGTTTAGCTGCCTTAGTAAGAAACCCAATAAACCCAAAAAGGCTAAGGATCTAAAGCTGCAGTAAAGCACCACAAAGCAAAGACCACGCAGCCAACGTTTCTCTTAGTGCAAGAGTCCTTTCCCCGAAGCGTAGGTATGCTCAAGCGGTTTGAATTCGGGATAGGCGTGTCGTTGTGGTAGATTGCTGGGCCCCTCGCAAAAAAGTTCACTGCCCGAAAGCCTCGGGACAGTTTGTGTCACTAAGTAGCCCAGAACCATATTACAGTAAGGGCACTCTTTTATGGGTTGGGTAGTTTATGAGGGAACCCATAACCCAAAAAGGCAAAAGGGTACCACAGGGCTCCAGTACTACCAAGACACCCACCCCGAGACCCCAAGCCTTATAAGGAAGAATCTGTTTTTTTGTTTTGGGGGGTCTACAGCAAACATGCAAAAATATCCCGAAGGGCCTACCTAGAACAGTAGACTCAGTAGGCACCCCTAAGCCCCCCAAAATCCGAAAGAGCCCCTTGTCATCCTCAATTTCTCTAAACCCTAAACCCTAAACCCTAAACCCTAAACCCTAAACCCTAAACCCTAAACCCTAAACCCTAAACCCTAAACCCTAAACCCTAAACCCTAACCCTAAACCCTAAACCCTCAACTTTCAAGGGGCATCGTGAGGATGGTGCGGCTGAAAGTTCCGTAGTAGCGAAAAACATCCTGGGGCTTGGAGGGCTCTTGAAGGTTTAGGGTTTAGGGTTTAGGGTTTAGGGTGTAGGGTTTAGGGTGTAGGGTTTAAGGTTTAGGGATTGGGTTTAGGGTCTGGGGATGTTTAGGGATAGGGGTAGGGATAGGGTTTAGGGTTTACAGGGTTCCGGCTGGCGAGGGGTTGGGGGATTTCAGGGCTTAGGAGGACAGATGCCTTAGAAAGCTGGAGCTAGAAGTGGGCAGTAAGGTAAATACAACTATGACTGCTTCAAACGATATTTTTAGGTACCTAGAACTCCACTTCTAACTACCCATGAACCTCCAAGCACTCAAGCTCCTCAGCTGTAGGGTGCCGAGCACGAAACAGTGAACATGACAAGCATGCACCCCATCCCCGAGACACCCGGCTCTCAGCTTGAGTACAACCCTAAACCCTTAAGCGACACACCTTGATGTTTACATGGCACTCTGACCTAGAATCTGCATCCCGCCGAGCGTCCTGACGCAGCTGCAGCGGGACGCTTTCGTCCGCTACGAAGTCACGGCAGAGGGTGCCAACCACCCTTCAGCCATGCGTCAGGTCGGGCTTTGGGCTGCTCGGGTCTACAGACCAAGACCACTCATGAAAGCCCTTGCCGGCCTGTTGACACATTGTTGGGTTTGTAGAAGGCTACAAGCCCAGGCGGCTTCAACTTACGGTGGCAGTCAAGCACCTTTATATATATATATATATGTATACATATATATATATATATTATATGTACTTGTTCATTTACTCAGGTACTTATATCATATACTTATTCTAGTTTCTTGTGTGCTGTAGCGAAGCATGCTGGCAGGGATCTCGGGGCAAAAACGTGAGAGACTGTGTAGCAGTTGGCTTTCAGCCTGCCAGTGGACTGGGTGGGCCCCCAAGCTCGAAGACCCACCGCTTAGAGGTTCATGGTACTGATTAGCCAATTGCAACTGTACTTATAACTGTACTTAAAGCCATATTAGGGCACTTAAGGGGCTGATCAGTGGGTCTTAAGTGCAGATATAATTGGTTCATAAAAACCCATGAACCTCCAAGTGGAGTGTCTCTTCTACAAGTGCTGATCATCCGTTCACTTCCAGCAAGAGTTAGACTACGGACTCTGGTTCTGTTGACATCCGAAACTTGCGGAACTCCCGGAACTGAAGCTCGCAATCTTGACATGGCGCATGTGTGTAGGGATAAGAACTTTGAACCTACTACACCTTGCGCCACAACCGCACACCTCACCGGGGGAAAATATGTTTCACTCCAGATGTAACCTTCTACGCCAAGTGGCAGGCCGGCAATACACTGCAGGAAGCTCAGCAAGCAAAATGTCCAGAAGAGCATGTCCACGCTGGCTGATAGGCATTTGATCAAGAGCCTCAAACGTTTAGGATTTAGGGTTTAGGGTTTAGGGGCCCTAAACCCTAAACCCTGCAAACCCAGAACCCTAAACCCTCAACCCAAGGTGCACAGGGTTCTGCGGGAAGCTGGTGGGGAGCCTCGCAAACACCCAAAGGCTCTAGCACGTACCGTCGTTCCCCTCATAGGGGCTCCTTTCGTCCAGAAGTAGCTGAGGGTTTAGGGTTTCGGGTTTAGGACTAGTAAATGCAACAGGAGCAATGTAGGGTGCTAACTCGGAGGCCAGCATACTTTCCAGATTCCCAAAGGTTTGGGCTGGAGATTTGGGGCTTAGCCAATGAATCAAAGAATCACAGGCCCAGAAAAATTGGAAGACACAAGGGAAGCTCCGGAAACGGCTGAATTTGATTTGGGGCTTGCTACTTGTACTCCCAATCCACGGCTACGGCTGGGACGTTAGCACCTTTTCGGCCAAGGCGCTGCAAGTTTTGAAGGACATTGGACATCGTCACCATGCGAAAAGTACGGGCCAGCTTGCCAATTCGCAGGAGGCGGAAGAGAATTGGATTGACTGGCACGCCGGAGTACAGGAAGACCTCCGTAATGGGGGGCGAAGGGCTTAGATCCCAAAGAGCCCAATACCCCATAAGTCAGGAACAGTCCTTGAATCGTGACAAGAACCCCTAAACCCTAAACCCTAAACCCTAAACCCTAATCCCTAAACCCTAAACCCTGAACCCTGAGCCCCTAAACCCTAAACCCCATTAAGGGGTATTGGCCTCTCTGGGTTCAGGATTGAAGCCTGGATTCGCCATGACAGAACTTTCAGACGTGCCCCCTCGCCCCCCTTCTCGCCCGGCCTCCATCAATGACGTGATAACCACAGCAACGTCAACATAGTTCATGCAAATCTTCCTCAGATTGCAGCTCTGCTTGTGGATCTGAGACAACATCATCTAACTTCTCACCCCAACGCCCCGAAATCCTCAAGAAAGCCCCTCCCGTGGTTTCAGCAGCTGGGTTCCTCGGAGTACAAAGTGAAGAAAGCTTCGGGGGGTTCGGTCCGCCGAGCCTGGCGGTGTGTTGGGTTTCGGAGGTGAACCCAACCCCCCCCCCCCCCCCCAAAAAAAAAAAAAACACACCGGGGAGGTTAGGTTCGGGGGGGGGGGGGGGGAGTACCCCGGTGGCGAGCATCCTAGGGTGGAAAAGTGTTGGGTTTTGGGGTTTGGATCTAGCTTTGGGGCCCTTCCCCTCAGACCCTCCTCAAACCCTTAGGCGGAAGTCTGAAAATTTGGTCTGTGCAACTGCCTCCAACTGCCTGGGATCCTGTGCTGGCACTTTCTGGCACATCCCGGCCCCCCCCCCCCCCCCCCCCCCCCCCCCCAATTTTCTTGAGCCCCAAAGCCCCCCCCTCCCCACGCTGCAAAGAAGGAGCCTAAACCCCATACGCGGTTCAGGGTTTCAGGTTTAGGGCAGTTTTTCTCTGTTTGGTCTCTGAGCTCGAGTTTCAGATTTAGGGTTTAGGGTTGACCCTGGTAACCCTAAACCCTAACATAAGCCTTTGGCAATTCCCTGTCCCGCTTTATCTCACTGGGGTTGGTCGCAAAACCCTAAACCCTACGCCCTGTTCTCCTGCGGGGTCGGCGGCTTGAGCCGGAGGCTCTGAAATGGTTTTGTCTTGCACACGACGAATGGTCAGCAAACCTGTGGAATTGAACGGACTTTGATACAGCCCGCAGTGATGCCCCGATCATTGCACCCCACAACAACCTCAACAGCTGTTTGAGTGTGGCGATCTAAGGCTGACATGGGCAAGGCGGGTTCAACGATCATATGCGGCCTTTTCTGGCAGACAAAGTCCCTAAACCCTAAACCCTAAACCCTAGGCGGCGTCATGTTACTTGTGATGAAGCCGCTACTCAGTTTCTCTCAGCCTTCAATGCAGCGAAACTTCTCGGTCGGGGTTCGCACTGCAAGCAACATGAAGCGGGCAGCGCATTAGGGAGACATGTCCGCATTGGGCATTCAATGGAGGGCGGTCGCAATGCGCCAAGAATTCATGCGGAACCAGTACACCTAGTTTGCTACTGCCAAGTGGCCAGAAGGCCATTCCCAGGAATGCAACCCGCACGATGACATCGATCGCGAAAACCGCCGTGAATGCAATGTCCCCTGCAGTGAACAACTGCTCCTCGACAATGGGCCAATGCCAGCACGAAGTCGCATGATGGAGTGGGTCAAGAGACGAAAGGAGAAGGTCACTACATACCGAAGTAACCCCTAAATAACCCCTAAGGTTCCTTATAAGGGTCCCGCTTATAAGGGACCTTAGGGGCTTTTTAGGGGTTACTTCGGTATGTAGGGACCTTCTGAGGTGCATGTAGGGGATTCAGGGTCCCTTCTCAAGGGGCTCCCTCCTTATACCCCTGAAGACCCAGAAAACCCTGCACCCATTTGTTGCAACTGGGCTTGAGGAGCAGCCAGATCCGACCCTGCACCCGGTTTAGGCTTTAGGATTTAGGATTTAGGGTAACCCTAAAGTCTAAACTGCAGTGCAGGGTGCCTGCTACAGATGTCCCTTCGTCCCTCACGGCCCAAATCCCAAACTGCCCTCTTCGGGAGGTGGGCCCCCAGCCTCCCAACAGACCGTTCCTTCACCCTAAACCACACTAAACCCAAGAATTGCCCGGTACACCCTGTTCTAGTCTAACCCTACACCCTAAACCCTTTTCTGACCCCAAACCCTCCGAGACTTGAATTCTGTGGGGATGAGCTGCGCTTTTGCTTAAGAGCCCCTAAAACCCGAACCCGAAAATCCCAAACCCTATCCGGGAAATTGAAAACCCCACTTTGCCAAGAGTCGCCATGGGCAAAGTTATGTACTTGTAAGATTAGTAGAACAGCGGCTTTTTTGCTGAGCGACATTTTTTATGTTTATTTTATTGTAGTGTAGTGCTGGGATGGGGCTTCGTCAAGGGATCTCCCATACACCGTGCGGAAGCCGCTCAGCATTGGAAGTTGGGCGGAGACGGAAGGCTACCACTGAGAAGCTTCGCATTTGGGGAAACATCCCAAGCCTTGGAATGAACCCTTCAAAAGAGGGAGGGTTTAGGGTTTAGGGTTTAGGGTTTAGGGTTTGGGGTTTAGGGTTTAGGGTATAGGGTATAGGGTTTAGGGTTTAGGATTTAGGGTTTAGGGTTTAGGGTATTCGGTATTCAAGCGGCTTGGGTCCTTAGGGTTTGGGGTTTAGGGCTTTTCCGTTGAGTTGATGGTCATTCCTGGGGTTAAAGAACATGTCGTGGAGTCGTGATGGCAAACTCAGTCCATCAGAGTAAATGTCTCGGCAGACATCAGAGGGTCGGAGTAGATGCCGATCCTGTCGCAGCCCTAAACCCTCAACCCTCAACCCTAAACTCCAACACCCTCAGCGGATTGAAGGTCAGGTGGCTTTGGGCACAGGGCTTGGAGGTTCGGGACGGCTGGCAGAATTTGCGGGTGAGTCCGGACACAAGATAAGCGCGAAAAGGGGTTTAGGGATTAGGGTTTGGGGTTTGGGCTTTAGGGTTATAAGGATGATGAACCACAGTTTAATACGGGTAGACCGATCGAGTAAATAGACAAGGACATCAAGGTTCAGCCAAGATAAGACTCGAGATACGCGGGGTCCAACTTTGTCCAAGGTCTTACTTCTCCTGAAACAAGTGGCCTAAAAAAACGAAAAACACTGAGACATGCCAAGGGAAGCCTGGATGAGAACTTTACAAATCCAAGACGTGAAGCTCGACCATGTCTACTCTGTTGCGGATGGAGGGTTTGGAGGGCTTTGTATCTTGTAGTGTGCACCCCTACTTGGAGGCTCATGGGTAGATATGGGTGCGGCTACAAGCATGGCAACTGTACTTAAAAATCTACTTCGGGGTACTTGCAACCCTACTTAAAACTACCCGTGAACATCCAAGTAAGCGAAAAAGCCCTAAACCCTAAACCCTAAACCCTAAACCCTACTCACGAACCCCCTCCAGGCAACCTAGTCACGTCACAGCTTAGAGCTCAAACCCTACGTTTTAGGGTTTAGGGTTTAGGGCCCTATTTTGTGTCCGCAGTTTAGGCATCAGATGACTTGCGAGGGTTGATGCGGCTGAAGTGAGGGGTCAGGAACCCTGAGGCGTTCGAATGCTCGAATGCGCCTACGGATATAGCAGAGAATTTCCTGGAAACCCTAAACCCTAAGCCCTAAACCCTAAACCCTAAACCCTAAACCCGGGCTCATGTCAGTACTCTTCACCGATCCCAAAGCAACTTACTGGCTATCTGCGAGGAACTCAGGGTGTGAGATGGACTCCGTTACGCGACCATAAGGGTACAAAGGCTCCCTGTGGCGTCCCTTCAAAGAATGACAACGTTTCTCGGATCCGGAATCTCAAAACTAACCTTCGGAGTGTTAGGAACATGGAAATGGGATGTTCCCCCGCAATACCAACAGTCCTTAGTAGGGATTCTAATAGGGGGGGGGGGGGACCATAAATCCCTATTAAGGATCTGGCAGTATACGGGCGACACATCCCTAAACCCTAAACCCTAAACCCTAAACCCTAAACATCCCAACTCATTGAGAACATAGCCAGGCGGCTGATAGGCCGTGCGAGAGCCATGCACTTGGAGCTCCAGTCCCATCCACAGCACATTGATGAGTAGCCTCGGACTGGCCCTGTCTCGGCCCTAGGGTTCAGTTTAGGGTTTAGGGTTTAGGGTTTAGGGTTTAGGGTTTAGGGTTTAGGGTTTAGGGTTTAGGGTTTAGGGTTTAGGGTTTAGGGTTTAGGATTTAGGGTTTAGGGTTTAGGGTTTAGGGTTTAGGGTTTAGGGTTTAGGGTTTAGGGTTTAGGTTTTAGGGTTTAGGGTTTAGGGTTTAGGGTTAGTTGCTTTTCAACAAGAAAGAGCCCCCAACATTTCCAATCTTCAGAAATGGCCTTGCTGGCTGGCAAGCTTGTGGACCCATGAACGCATGAAATCGAAAGTGTCCAAATTAGACCTGAACCCTAAGATGCAGAGCCAAGAACCCATAATCCGGCTTTGGCAGTTTGTTGGAGCTTGTGTTTCGACTCTTACAGCTCCCCCTGATATAGGGGCCGGAATAATTACAAATAGTATTTCCTTATGGTCGGTATATAAATGTGCTATAATTTGGCTTTTTTAAACTGTACTATGATAACCACCCAAAACCCCACCCAAAACCCTATTCTAATTCTTAAGACCCCCTTATCGTTTGGGGCGCTTGGTCCTCGCATGTTGGGGCTTGGGATTGCGCAGGGATCTTGCTCTGGGTAAATTCAGCGGGAACCCACTCCTGCTTGAAGGTTTAGGGCTGGTTCATGGGTAGCTGTAAGCAGGGCTAGAAGTACCCTCAATAAGGTTATCACCAGTTAAAACTTATGACTTATAAAGGCCGGTGGCTTCTGAGCAGTTGCCACACAAGCGCACGTCTGGCTTGCTGTAGAAGTACTATACCAGCAGCAGCAGCAACAGCAACCAGTGCAAAACCCTAAACCCTAAAAACCCTGTAATTGGGCCGAGAAGCAATATGGTTATGACACCCTCAAAGGATGTCGACTGCAATGTGTGCTGCCTCAGCTGCACAAATGAGCAGCTCACTTTGAAGGCTGACCTAGTGCCAGAGCCTTAAAAAGCATTTTCTTTTAATTTAAGGGTTTGTGGATTTTGGGATGCTCGAGAACATCTAAAGCCTTAAGGTCTGAGCTCTGAACACAAGTGATGCTCACGAGTCCAACGCACCTTGGGTTCGTACGGGCCTAAACATGCCGAAGGCGATATGTAAGCGAATAACCAGCATTGTGGCCTAAAACCCCCAAACAGGAACCCCTGCTTGCATCAATAGCACGAAGACCCATTTCAACCCATGGTCAGGTGACAGCTTCTCGAAGCGTGTCGAGCTCTGCTCGCGCTGCAGCGGCGCATCCGCCTCCTATGAACGACCCGTCTGTCATCGCGCGCACACACACACACTCCCTCAAAGAAGCATTGCCCTAATGACTCCGCGACGCAAGGAGTGACTGTCGAAAGATGCACACACACACACACACACGGAAGTCTGCACCTACGTGTAGATCATCTTACGACAGTGACAGAAACTGGCAACACATCTGCTCTACTGCGAAATGCACTCGGCGGTAGTTACAGGGCTGCTGCGTCTTCAGAAGATTGAACCCTAAACCCTAAACCCTAAACCCGAATACCTATGTGCTGCTATTCGCAGAGCGAGTTCAAACTCTCCCGTGCTCTCAGCCAGGACCCTAAGCCACGCAAGCAGATTAGGGTTCAGGGTTTAGGGTTTAAGGGTCCCCAAAACTACTACTTGCTTAAGAAACCCCCTAAAGAAAAGATCCTTATAAGGGTCATGTAGGGGTTCTTAATGCTTGTTTGATTTTCTTAAGCTCTTGAGCAACTAGTAGAAAAATAGAAGTAACAGATCTCTGGATTGAGGAATCGGGAGGAAGGCTTCGGATCAGGAGGCTCATAAGCCCCAACAATCCAAGCACTACGCATTGGGGAGTCTTCAACAGCAATAAGACTAGGGTTTAGGGTCTAGGGTTTCGGGATGAATTATACCCCATAACCCCCAAGGCCGCTTGTAGGGTTGATTATAGGGATTATAGGGCCTAATTGCCCATGCTGGTACCCCAAACCGGGTGGGTTCTGGGGCCATGGGTTCTTACAGAAACCTCGAAGCCTACAACCCTCACCTTGAAAGCAAAATCTTTGCGGGGGCCCCATACGCTCACCACTTTTCTGGGCAAGTCTCCGAAGGGAAGTCTTTGAAGAAGGACTTGGCTTGCATGGCCCGTGTCAAGGGATGTTTTAAGGCTCCGGGGGACTGAGGGTTGAGGGTTAAAAGGGCTTGAAGGGCTTATAGGGTTTTAAGGGTTTCTAGGGTTTTTGAAGAGCTTTAAAGGGTTTAACGGGTTTAAAGGGTTGATGGCTTAGGGCGGAAACATCGGGGACCACACGGCACGCCGCTCGAAACTTACTTTTCTTTTGCATACTTCTCAGCAGTCTACACACGCGGGCGTGGGAGGGTGCGAGGGTGTGTGCAAG